TTTTTTTTTTTTTTTGCAGTTTTTGGCCAGGGGTTGGGTTTGAACCCACCACCTCTGGTATATGAGGCCGGCACCCTACTCCTTTGAGCCACAGGCGCTGCCCAAGACTATATCACTTAAAGTTCTTTGTCAGCAATAACTGGGGCTTGGCAAAATTCCTTTCTCTCTTGGTATTTCACACAGGCACTGGCGATTTAGATGCCTCGGACGTCCATCTTTAAGCTAAGATACTTAATCTAAACAGAACATTCCAAGCTTAGGCCTGGAAGTGATTTCCTTTTTTTCCCTTGAGATAGAGCCTCAAGCTGTCCCCCTGAGTAGAGTGCTGTAGCATCACAGCTCACAGCAACCTCCAACTCCTGGGCTCTAGTGAGTCTCCTGCCTCAGCCTCACAAGTAGCTGGGACCACAGGGGTCTGCCACAATGCCTGGCTATTTTTTGGTTACAGCCGTCATTGTTATTTGGCTGGCCTGGGCTGAATTTGAACCCGCCACCTTAGGTGTATGTGGCTGGCGCCTTAGCCACTTCAGCCACAGGCACCAAGCCTGGAAGTGATTTCTTACTTTGAAATCAATTTTTTTGAACTTTTTTCTATTCCAATACTCCTTACCCCAAGTTAAGAGAATTAACAACTACGTTTTGATACTAAAAATGTAAACTGAGTTGTGGCAATGATTAACACCAACTAGAGAATATTTTCATAATACATTTATGTCAATGATATTGGCATTGCCTAGATTATCCTGTGTATTTTATTATGCAATGCAGTTAAAATGGAGCCTCATACACCGAAGGGCAGGATTAACAGCAGGATCCCCATTTCCCTTGTATAGACAAGTCCACAACCTGGTTCTTGCTGATATTTTCCGTTTATTACTGCAGTAGACAATTGCTCTGAAAGTGCAACACTAGTCACTCTTGTCACAGCCTCTGCTCCTTCTCCACTGGCAAATACTTGGAAATTCATTCTTGGAGCATCGTGGACCACAAGCTTCTCTCTGGGTGGAAAATTATTGCCACTGCCAGTGTCACAGGGAAAATACACACGCACACACACACAGAAGGATACAAAGAGAAGAGCACTGGAGAGGAGGGGGGCCCAATTTCAAATGAAACCAAATAAAGGGGTCTGGGGAGAGAAGCCCCAACTGTGCAAAGTAGAGACTGATTTCCTGTTCTCCAGTGGCAATCCAGCATACAGGTCACATTGGCCTTGGCAGGCCTTTTTTCCCTTTGTCTTTAACAGGTGATATCATAACCATGACTATCACATCTCAGCATATGAGGCCCATGGAGTCAAAATAAAAGCCTTCTCAAACCAGTTTAGGAAAATGGGCGAATAAACTGACTGGTAGACAGAGTATCTGGGAAAACACTGAGGGTAAGATGCTGCCTAATAAGGAGAACCCCCTGTTCTAACCGGCAGAGGGTCAGCATAATTTTGATGGGGAAAGAACTGTTAAATACTACAATGACAAGGAGGAAGAGAAAACATGAGCAGCTCTAGAAAACATACGAACAAAAAATCTGAACAACAACAAAAAAGGCAAAATGACAGACAATACACATAACCACTAGGCTTGACCAGACCCTCACTCCTAAGTACGTTGGACACACCTGCACCTTCTTCCACGCACACGCAACAGTTAGGTAGATGCCCCAAGGTGGGCAAATCCAAATGTCTGCTCTCTTTGGAAATTTTAATGGCAAATATGAGTTTAGGCAAAAGTAAAGACCTCCTTAGAGTCTAGACAAATCTCAGAAGGTGGCCTTTGCTCCCCACTGTAGCCGATGTTGCTCCTATATTTGCCTGAGCCCTTCACAACTGTCTGGACACCAGAATGCATTCTTCATGTTCCTGGAGTTTAAATCCCTGCTAGATCTTACCTGATCTAACTTCACCTGTAATTGAAGCACCTCCCTTTTGGCCCCTGAACTCCCCTGTTCTTTCAGGAAAAATCATCCCGAAACAGTGGTAATTAGAGGGTGTTCAGGAGTTGGAAAGTAGGAAGAGAGTAATACAAATACAATAAGGAAATGCTTGTCATTCTCATAGGATTTCTCCAAGGCCAGGTTGCCAAGGACCCCCTAGCCTTCAAGGATATGTTTAAAGGAGAGGCCTTAATTTAAGGTACTGCAATCTTTGCTCACAAGAGCCAAGTAAGACGGTGCTACTTGGAAGTTGCTGTATAACTCTGATTCATTATTTATTTGAATCCTAGGTGCTCTTTTGACCTGACTTCAGTCCTTCTGGAGTCAGATTGCCCAGCCCCTCTAATAAGTGACTGGGTCATTTTCAAAGCATGCCTGCAGTAGCCCTCAAGGTTTCTGTCTGGGCATCATGGACCAGCACACATTTGCTAACATACATACTGAGTAATGAGGGCTGAAAGGAGGGTTTTCCAACCACTGCAGACAGGCACAGTCATGCAAATAAAGCCATCCAGCAAGGTTACCCTTCCTTCAGCTGTCTCAGTTTCAGGATCATAGAATTTATATATTAAGTACTAACAGGCCTGGCAATAACCAGCTTCACTTCCCTTCCTCAATGAGGGGCATGCAAGAACCTACAGAAAAAGGCTTAACGTATCAGCCCTGTGCATCAGGGAAAATGATCTTAGTCATTGCCCTCAGCTCCAAATCCTGTACTTGGAGCCTATGTTAATAATAATAGTTCCTATTCAAACTGGATTCTGCTCTAGTTTCTTACCAAGGCATTCCCTCTAAGCTGCCTCACTGAAACCAGCATGACCCACTGGACTCTAATCCTAAGTGCAGCAGTGCCTAAGAAGGAGAGAATCTCATAGGAGGGAAAACTGGAGGGCATAAGGTGGGAGATGATACAAAGTCTAGGACTGTCCTCACATCAGTAACACCGCTTCACAAAGTGGTATGCTTGGGGAAGAGGGGAGAGAAAGAAACAAAATGTCCCAATAATTTAGTGGCAGAGCTAGAAAAGAGCATTTACAGCTACTCTGGGACTCTCCAACAAAAGCTTTTCCTGGATGCACAGACATTCATAATACTGATATCTCTCATTGCCAGCTCTGGCATGTACACGTATGTGGTCACGATGCCCTTCGTACAGCATGAGAGGAGCACAAGGGATGCCCCGGAGGCATCTGGACAGCACACAGCAAAACAAAAGGCTGAACTCCCCCCATAGAACCCCATTAAAAAACAATGTTTGTCTATTACAAAGTCACGTTTGCTGTTTTTCCGCTTTATAAAGTCAGCGACGCTGGAGGGTGTCTAGCGGAATCCGTCCTCCAGGAATGAGTGCAAAAGGGGAGCACACGGCTCAGGGATGTCCCTTCAGTGAGCAGATGGAAGGACCGGCTGGAGGCCTCCCATCCATTTCGGACAAACACACACACACAGAAAAGGATTATTGCCAGCTTGTGTACTTTCACAATGTGATTTTTGTATTTCGAAAGCTTGAATTGTCCCTGAAAGAAAAAAATGGGAGAAACAAAGCGTTCAATACATGGATCATCTATACACAACCACACACATACAGGGGGAGAACTGACTCAGCAGCCTTGGGCTCTTCAGGACACCCTCAGGACCTTCCTCACTTGCCAATGTAATGCCAAAACAACCCCAAAGTAACTCGCCTCCCAAATCCTTAGAAAACTTCGATCAATTATTTGCAATAGCAAAATATTAGAAACAAACTAAATGTAGATCAAGTAAGGACTGGTTAAATATTCATGTTGGCACACTCATAGGATAAACAAGGAAGCTCTCTACTAATATGGAAAGAGCTCCAAGATAAATGTAGCATCTGTGTATGCAGCATGCTACATTTTGTATAAGTTGTGGTGGAGAAAGTAAAGCTAGAAGTTAACATTTGCATGTACTTTAAGAAATGTATCAAGGCTACACCAGGTACCTGGGGCAGTGGGTTAGGAGGGGGCACAATGGAAACTGGATACATAAAGTAAGCATGTGAGGGAGACTTTCTCTCCCTTTCATTCTTTCTGTCTCACACATTTAAAAAAATACATTGAAACATATGATTATATTACATAAACAAAAACCCCAACCAACCAACCAAATATAAATCCTCAGTTTAACAGTTAGAGCTGCTTACAAAAGGAAAGGACATTCCAGGGGAAATCTGGGTGCCCATCACTTCAGAAACATGGCTCTACTTCTTGAAAGAGAAGTGTGTCTGTGTGTGTGTGGCAGGGTGGAGGGAGGACAGGAGACCCCAATGTATGTACTCTTAGTGACTTCTATTGGACGCAGACAGGCTTGGCCACCCCCTGGTGATCTTTCCTGGTCCATACTAGAAATCAGTGACATCTTACCAGGTCCCATTACCATCTGAATCTCAAAATCTCAGGGCCGGTAGGGGATTTAAAGTCTATGTAGCTGCTCCCCAGCCCAGAGCTTCAGACTTAAGTTTACTGGAAATTTTGAAACAAATTCCCTTTAACCAGGATTATTTCCTTTTAATTTTAATATAGAAGCTCTGACTTTAACTGACGCATCTTAAAACTGTTACAATAAACTGGGCATATGGCAACTGGCCCAGAATAAATACTGAAGAAGAATATGCTCAGCCCAGTCTCCTCCTGTTACAGACTAATGGATCCTCCTCCATGATGGCAGCAAGCTGACAGCAACTAACAGCCCACACTACATCAAGTACCAAGGAGAAATTTTTTTTTTTTTTGAGACAGAGCCTCAAGCTATCGCCCTGGGTAGAGTGCCATGGCATCACAGCTCACAGCAACCTCCAACTTCTGGGCTCAAGTGATTCTTCTGCCTCAGCCTCCCAATTAGCTGGGACTATAGGCACCTGCCACAATGCCCAGCTATTTTTTGGTTGCAGCCATCATTGTTGTTTGGCAGGCCCGGGCTGGGTTCAAACTTGCTAGCTCAGGTGTACATATGTGGCTGGCACCTTAGCCACTTGAGCCACAGGTACTGAGCCCCAAGGAGAAACTGAAGCTGGTGGATGTGAACTTGGGTTGGGAAGAAACAGATGTTATCTCAAAAGCCTGTTGGCATTTTTATAATTGATATGCATGTGATTCATCCAATATTTTCTTTCTTTTTTTTTTTTTGCAGTTTCTGGCCGGGGCTGGGTTTGAACTCACACTCCTATATATGGTATACGGGGCTGGCGCCCTATTCCTTGAGCCACAGGTGCCGCCCTCATCCGACTATTTTCATCTAAGGAGCTGAACACAACACTGACGGAGTGGTCGTCTTTTTAAAAGGCCAATATAAAAAAAACTTTCAAAAGAACAGATCCCTCTGAGGTACCACAAGTAGCTAGCAAAGGATAAAGCATAAGTCAGGCCTGTGGTCCCAGCTACTTGGGAGGCTGAAGTGGGAGGATAGTTTGAGCCCAGAAGTTGGAGGCCAACCTAGGTAACAGAGAGAGACCTCATCTCTTTAAAAAAAAAAAAAAAAGGATAAGGAACATATCTGGTCATCACACAGAGAAAAGCAAGCCTAACTGATGTGTAAGTTATTTCTGAGAGGGATGAGAGGCTCTGTTACTGAGACTGCATTACAAAAAACACCTCTCATACCTACACCTAATACTAAAGAAAGTCATTACCCAGTAACAGAGTCATCTCTTCCATTTCTTTCCTTTTAATGCTACCCTTATGCCAATATGGCCACTGGAGAACAGACATCTAATGGGAGGGATTCTGCTCCTCTTACTGGAAGAGTGTAAACAAGGGTGGGGGCATGGGAAGGAAGAATCAGACAACTTCCCAACTCTGAGAGAATTAGCTATCTTGGAGTAGGGGAGATAGCAGGCAAGTAAGTATCTGGATTCAGCTCTTTCAGCTGTTCAGTGACATACAGAGAATTTTCAAGACAATCCTCATTATACGCAGTCATCTTATCTTTTGGGAGGATTCTGCTACTATGTTAGAGTTGAGTCAGAAGTAAATGCCCCTCTCTGTGGCAAGGAAATGGAAGAGTTCTGTAACACTTTCTCATTCAGATATTTAATATTCTAATTGTTATTATAGATCTCTTTACAGCCAGAAAACCTAAGAAGTTCTATCATTCTAAGGTCCATTTGTGAAATGGGGAAGAGAAGAGCCAGGAGAGTCTAGCTGAGTTTTTCCACTGTTTGATTTAACAGGCAAACGAAGAGGGTAGGTGGCCTATTAAAAATGACCGGCTAGGCTCAGCGCCTGTGGCTCAATCGGCTAAGGCGCCAGCCACATACACCTAAGGTGGCAGGTTCGAATCCCCAGCCTGGGCCCGCCAAACAACAATGATGGCTGCAACCAAAAAA